AAAATATAAAACTATAAAGTTTAAAAAGTTGACAAGTCTATGTATCGCTATCACTAGTATTCTTATTTGCTTATTATTGTGTTTAATTTACTTTTAAAATTAAAAATAACCTTTTAATAAAAAATAAAAAAAAAGTTGCTCAATATCTTTGGCTATGGAACATGACATGTATTTTATTTTATGATCTCATTGAACTATGTCTTGTTGTTTTTATTAGATGCTGCTTCAACGTCAAATAAAAGCTTAACCAAAATGGATCTCATGCAACTTATTGAAAGATTAATTAGGCATTCTTCTGACCGATTCAAGAGAAAATCCACCAATATCAATATCGATAAATGTTGGCTTAATTAACTTCAATCAACTGTTGTGTTTTTTATTTATTTTGCATTTTTTAGTAATTTTCTTTTTACTTATAATATACTACTGATTATACTGTACAAAATATATTAGTTTTTAATTTGGAAAGTGTAACTTTGTTTGAATAATTTTTCTAAGTTTTTGTAAAGTTAATAATTTATTTTAAATATATGAAATTACACTTTATGAACTTTGATTTCTCTTTATACCTTCACTTGCCATCTAAGGTGTGTATTGCATATCATTGCATTTTATATAACTTTTAAAAGAATGTCTAGGTAAATTTACGTCTCTAGGACGTCTGAATAAGACGTCCTTAAGTCTTTCACATGAGACCTGCCAGAGACGTCCATAGGACAGCTGAAAAGACGTCTCTAGAACGTCTACAATAAACGTCCCTAGGATGTCTTGAAAAGACGTCTTTAGGACGTCTGGAATCGACGTCCTCAGGTCTTTCATTTGAGACCAACTGAGGACGTCTTACGGACGAGACTTGAGACGTCGTATAAACGTCCTTAGGACGTCAAAATGCCCGCTGGGTCCTTTTCTAAACTAAATAAAATATTAATAATTTTCCATCTCCAGTATATGCTTTCAGTGCCGTACCTTTCGTTAGTTTGGCCGCTACCGTTTATACGAATTTTTCCTCTCCTCAACCTCTTTGATATGGAAGCCTCCATACCAGGTTTTAGTTTGGGTGCATTAGTTTGGTTGCCCATACCGGTAAAACGGTATGAGATTACGGCTGGGTACTGTACTGGCTTTATGAAACTTTAAAAATGCATTAACTATTGTAGAATGGTTATCGGTAACAACAGTTCTTATCTTAAATTCAGATTGGTGCATTGAGGTAATACACTCATCAATTTCTTTTTTCAAACATAAATTTGTTATGTAAACTTTAGGTGAGGATTTCAAAACATAAGAATAAATTTTTGAAGCCCTCCCAGTGGGCACGAACGTAAAAAAGACGTCTTAAAAAAAAAAAAAAAGCATTTATTAGGTAATGAAAAAAATAAGAATTTTATTAACAACTATTGACTCCAAAACAGTTGGTATACCTAATATTTTTTGCCTACTGTAAATAAATGGCCTGATTTGATGCATTTTTATTGCTGTATGTTTGAGACATGCAGCATAATAGAGTATTTACATTGCAAAACATTGCTTTGCAGTGTAAATATTTTAAAGAAAATTTATGTTTTCTACTTAATAATTGCAATTATAATAAATACAAAACTGTAAACCTTTAAAATTATTTGCTATAGAGAGTTGTGGGTAGTTTTAGCAATATGTAAGATTATTTTTAGGAGCATGTTGGTATGTTTTGATATAGCTATCTGAAAGCCTATTTCAGTATTCAGTATTCAGTATTCAGGCAATCAGTTAACAGAAAATCCAGCACAAAATAATGTAAGTACTCAAAGAAAAAATCAAACTATTAATAAACCATTTTAATAAAATAAAAACAAAACAATAATAGTGCAAACAAGACTCTTAACCATAACAAAAATAAAGTGTTTTTACTTGAGCCGTAAAAAAACTGGCCTCGTAATTTTTGATGGAAAATGCAATAAATTAGGCTGTGTAATTTAAGTAGGCCATGGATATTTTTATTTAAAGAGATAACTCTATGATATTTTTAATCCTCTTAATAAATAATTAATAAATTTTGATTTTTTTTAAAAAAGTACAAAATTTATTAATTATTTACTAATTAATTATTTTTATCAACCATTCATAGGATATCAGCAAAAAAAAAAATTGTGTGTATTTGTTATACATTGTTAATTATATACATACATATATATGTATGTATATAATTTTATTAGGTTTTATTATTTGTTATTGTTTTTACAACCCTCTTTATATAACGGAGAAAATAGTTAAGCGTAGGTACCACTAGAAACGTGGTCGGGATCAGACTCGGTATTCTTTTTTTTTTTTTTTTTTAATAAAAAAACTCCATTTATTTCTAAAACTATGTTTTTACAACTTGTAAATTAAAGTTTGAACAGGATTTAACATTAACTATAAATAAATCTTAAGGTATTTTTAATATAAAGAAAGATTTCAATATTTTTTTTGCTTTTAAAGTGAATGCATCAGAATCAAAACCATAAAACATATCTTAAGTACTATTACTAGTACTTAATTTTAAAGAATTTATCATTAATAAAATAAAAGATATATTTTTTTATTGTATTGAATTTTTAACTTTATTATTTAATCAATTAAAAAAAAATTGACAAACAATTATTAATTACTATTCTATCCGAGGACTATTATTAAACCTCCTTATTTTTTGACAACAAAATGTTGCTTAACGTGTTAAACAAAGTATTCTGTGACTGTGTCAGTTTCTTTTCTAAAAATTGAACAAATAAAAAGAATAACTTCATGATTTAATTCAAATATTTTAAGTCCTTTTAATTCATTTGTCTGTTACCAGACTCCAATTTTTAATTTGATAAGTCTTTTACTTTATATATATTTATACAGTTATATATATTATAATGTTCTTTGTACTGTTTTACTAAACGTGTTGCATACATTTGATTTATTACTAAAACGTATTATATGTTCGGTGTATTTTATCTTAAGTATTTATTATTCGTCATAATTACCAATAATTCTCAACATATATATATATATGTTTTTTTTAATTTTTAAAAAATTGAATTTTGTCAAAAAAAAAAAAATTTTGTTTAAAAATAAGCAAATATGTGATTGTATTAAATGATATATATATAAACAAGTTTCAAGTAAAAAATACTAATAGATAAGTTAGTTGCAAGTACTAAGTTCAAGTTTTTCATTGAGACTTATTCAATATTGTTTTTTGATTGAGACGTAAAAAAAAATAAAGTGTAAAATAAAGTAAAAATAAAACAATTTTGATTTATAAAATCAAAACTTTCAATTTTATTTGTTGCTCTGTTCCCACATAATCATCAACCCGACTATCAACTTTGTTATGAACGAGTATTTAACTTGACTTTATTGTGTGAGTTTTATTTTGATTTATAATGTGGTTGCGTGGTTTGTTTGCACCTACTCTAATGAGGTTGCGTGGTTTGTTTGCACCTACCCTAATGTGGTTGCGTGGTTTGTTTGAACATATCCTAATGTGTTTTGTGTTTAATCTTTTTTCTACTATGATTAGAATATAGTTTTACATTCTCAATAATGTAAACGAAATTCGGCTATATTTTAGACAGGGCCGACGACACGGCTTTCGTTGTGGACATATTAGTCAATTTTCATAAAAAGTCTACTACATCTAAAATTTTCTTACAAAAGAAAAAAATCTATGCAGTTAGACAAAATGTATTGCATGCAATCCCATAATATTCAACTTGAACATCAGTTTATTATTATTATTTTTTTTTTCTGAGACGAGAAATTTATAAAAAAAAAAAATAAAATAGAATTATTATAAACTCTTAGACCACTAGTTAATGGACAATGATTTTTTAGTTTAAATAAAAAGTTTGATTGAAATGGCTTTTACACAGTCAGTATTTTACAAAATCAAATTCGTGTTGTTGAAATATTAACTGGAATATATATTGTTGTTGAATTGAATAATAACTTTTACCGTTTATCTTTTAAAGATAATTCAGATCTAATAATTTTTTTTATGTTATTTTTAGAGAAAAATGTTAACCTTTAATAAAATTTATTTTAACATTAAAATGTTATTATTTAATAAAATTTATTTTAACATTAAAATATTATTATTCTGTCTACACCAAAGTTTGCTATAATCTGAAAATTTTATTAAATCTTTTTTATCTCTAAAAAAACACTGCATTAAAAAAAACGCATTTTTAGCTTTTTTAATTCAGTGCTTTTAATAAAGATGGTCTAAATAGAGGGGGGCGCTCTTTTCAATATTAAAAAAAAAAGAAAAAACAAGTTTACTAAAACATAAATATCTAAAATTTGTTTTACTTTAAAATACTTTCTTCATTTTTTCAACATTATTGATTAGACTTAGCATGATAGGCTAAAACATAAATGTCTAAAACTTGTTTTATTTTAAAATATTTTCTTCATATTTTAAACATATTTGATTAGACTTCGCATTATAAGCAGGGTTATAAACAACATTAAAGGTCTTTAGAGGTAGCGTCAGAGGTAAAGTCAGAGAATGTGTTATAGGCAGCAACATGACAGCATTACATGCAAACTACTGCTTATCTCAAATGCAATCATAAATTTCAATTTTAATCTTAAATATTTAGATAAAAAAATATTTTTTTATTTTATAAGGATAATAAAGAAATCAAACAATGTTCTAAAAGAAGAAGAAAAAAAAGTTGCAACATTAGCTAGTGTTCCTCAGGAAATATATATTTAACATTGAACCAAATAAATTTGAATTGGAATTGATATATTGTGGCTTAAATATCATTTTTAAATGAAAGTTTCAAAGAATTTCATTTAAAAACAGAATTAACGCTTGCGCACCACTTCTGTTGATTCATTTTGATATATATTTAAGTAAAGATAAGTAATTACCTAATGTTAACTATGGTAAACGTATTAATATCATAGTTAGGTAATATTTTGACGTACGTTGTACACCGTCATAAATCACCGTCAAAAGCAAATTTTTGATAAAAGTTACTTACATTAATTCTTGTGTTCTTTACACAAATTTAAATTTATTGCATCGAAAATTCTATGGTAGAAAAAAATATGAAATGTGCAAGTTTATCAATTTAAAAAATAAAATTAGTGCTACTTTTAAATACGTTTTAATTATTTCTAAAGAAACTCTTCTTATAATAATTTATTGTTATTAATCGTCCAATATAACGGCATAAATTAAATCGGGTTTAACATTTTTTTAGTTAACTTCCTTTGGTTATTTAAGAGGTATTTAAATTCAATTGTACAGTGCTTGTATTCAAATGTCAATATCAGGTTTAAAACTTGCACAAGCAGTTAGAGTTTACTACCAGTAATGCGTTAAGCGAGACATCATAATATGCTATATTGTTTAATTAGAAAGATAATACAATATACTGTCTCCCTGAAAAAAGTGCTGTAAATAAAATAATAACACAAATTATGCTATAACCTAAAAACTAAAACAAAATAGTAGCTCTTTGGAATTTGTTTTTCTGTCGTTTATAAATAGTTATAAAAGTAAAAAAAAAATACATAAGTAAGTTTATTTCTGGTTATAAAGATAAATTATATTTCTCACAAGTAATTTATTACATTTAATTCAATACTTTTTTCTTGTTTTAAATTGTAAAGATCGGTTGACTTTTTAATGGCATATAAATAAAATCTCTTTGCTGAATTGTCTTTGGTTTGAATAATGATAAAAAATCTCATATTTAAAGGAAAAAAGTCTATTAAATTAGTTGTAAAGGTTGAACATATTATATATATATATATATATATATATATATATATATATATATATATATATATATATATATATATATATATATATATATATATATATATATATATATATATATATATATATATATATATATATATATATATATATATATATATATATATATATATATATATATATATATATATATATATATATATGTGTGGAAAACAATAATGTAGAGGATATGATTTATTTAACTCTAGGTAAAGAGCTATCTTATAAAGCTAAGTTTGAGGGAAAAATACCGGATAAAATTGATATTTTATATAACAAAAAACAGATTTTAGGTACAAATGTTTAAAAATGTGCATTCATTAAAAAAACCTACCAAACAAAAAGTTTTCAAGGCTAACTTAGAAATTAGGATTTTCAAAACTAAATTATACATCATAAAAATAAAACAGACGCAGCTCTCGCATCAGAGTAATAGCGACAAACATTTTAAATTATGTTATGACTAAATACTTGTTTTAATCATTTACATAACCTACCGGATTTTGGTGCGGATATCTGTGTTAGGATGGACCTTTATTAAACTTAAACATCTAAAATTATTTACACAACATCAAACACTAGAAACACCTAAGAGGTTCAAGAGTCGTCTCTTTAACGTCTTTTTAATGTACGATGTTTAGGCGTTTATATACGCCTAAACCTTTGCTCTCGCAAAACGTTTTAAATACGTATTTTGGGCGTTTTTTGTGTATCGATTAATTTTAGATTTGTATTTGGGCTCTTTTTGACCTTTTATGTCTTTCTTTTTGTACTTACATCCATTTCAAAATTCAAAATATAAAAATGAAATTTTTTGAACGTTCGATTGAAACGTCTTGTAAACATATTGAACATGTTTTTTCGCCTGTTGAAAATAAGTATAATACAACAATTTTAAACTGTTGTTAACTATTTGCTGTATTTGGTTTTAGTAAATAGTAAACTTTATTTATATAACTTTATATAAATATATATAACTTTATATATATATATATATATATATATATATATATATATATATATTATTTATAAATATATATATATATATATATATATATATATATATATACATATATATATATATATATATATATATATATATATATATATATATATGTATATATATATATATATATATATATATATATATATATATATATATATATATATATATATATATATATATATGTATATATATATATATATATATTTATAAATAATATATATATATATATATATATATATATATATATATATATATATATACATATATGTATATATATATATATATATATATATATATATATATATATATATATATATATTATTTATAAATAAAACTGCATATTTTCATATATATACATATATGAAAATATATAAAATGTATTTTCATATATATATTTATATATATATATATATATATATATATATATACATATACATATATATATATATATATATATATATATATATATGTATAAATATATATATACATATATATATATATATATGTATATATATATATATATATATATATATATATATATATGTATATATAAATATATATATATATATATATATATATATATATATATATATATATATATATATATATATATATATATATATATATATATATATATATATATATATATATATATATATATATATATATATATATATATATATATATAGGGGAGAGTTGCCTTAATTGGAGCAATTTAGGAATAAATATTTATTAACCAAAGATGGCTTAACTATGAAAACAATTATCATTTTGTTAATACAAGCAGACATCCCTACAATGCTTTTAACCACAATTTGACTTAATTGATTGCACTGTTATTGGAAATAAATTTGTTTTTGCAAAGTTACCATTTTCTTCCAATCAAGGCGACTGGTTCCCTAAATTGGAACTTTTTGATTGTTTAATCAGGACAGGTTGTTTTTTTTTTTAAACAAAACAATAAGACCAACAAAAATTAATGCAAAACGATTTTTACCTTTACAGTGAAAATTTAAACAGTTAATTCAAAACTTATTATAGGATTAGTATTACCCTGAAAAATTTAAAGTCTTTAAACAAAAAGTTGTAAAAAGCTTCAACTGTTATGACGTTCTCTTAATTTATTGGTTAAAAATCACTAAATAAAGTATTATTTTTAAGGTTTATAGTTGTTACTAAGTATTTTTTTAATTGTACTCGAACTACTTTAACAACCCTTTGATTTTATAACTGATTAGGTAAGAAAAACTTAAATGTTCCAATCAAAGAAACTTTCGACTATTACTTTATATCATTATAATAACATGCTTGCAACAACTTATAAGATAAGTTTATATTGTTAGTTTGCATTTTAAATCCCTTTGAACTAAACACAAAAAGCGGTATAACCTATAACACTATAGTTTACCCAGCGCAATCAGTATAGTGTGAACACAAAATTAGATCATTGAAAAAAAATGACACAAAAAAACTTAAAATTAATGAGCAAACGCATTTTTTGAGGAATCACTTTCAAAATGCGTTAAAACGTAGAAAATAATGCCTTTTACTAAAAAAATGCAAAATATAGCCATAATTCATTTTTTATCAAAATTAAATGCAAGTGTTCCAATTTCGGCAACTCTCCCCTACTTATATATATATATATATATATATATATATATATATATATATATATATATATATATATATATATATATATATATATATATATATATATATATATATATATATATATATATATATATATATATATATATATATATATATATATATATATATATATATATATATATATATATATATATATATATATATATATATATATATATATATATATATATATATATATATATATATATATTATAAATTTATATATATTATTATTATTATTCAGTAATCAAAAAAAAAAAAATTACAATAAATCTGTTTAAAGTTTGATGAAGAGGTGCTACACCAGGCCCCTCTATGCTGAAGAAAACAAAAAAACACAGAAGCTACAGTCAAAGCAGCAATTGTGTCTCTAAAAGTTACTTTGTTATACTGTTTTTGAAAGCATGGATAGATGGAGTGTTTACTACTGCTTGGGAAAGCGCATTCCACGGCACAACAACTCTATTTGAAAAAAAGTTTTGTCGTTCTTCACAATTTTGTACAAGCTAGCGTTCTAGCTTTTGATTATGCCTTCTCAATATAAACTTGGCTTTCCTGTTTGAAATTTTTTGTGGAACGAAAAAAACTGACAAGTTCGAGTTGACGGGTGATTTTAAATTGTTCGATTAGGTCTGCTTTTTTACTGCGTTTTTTGAGTGTTGTTAGACCAAGCTGTTGGAGTCGATTATAGGACAGGTGTTTAATAGATGATATTTTTTTTGTTGCTCGATGTTGGACTTGTTTGAGGATAGCAATGTCAGGCTTTAAATGCGGCGACTTGAACAGCAAACTGGAGGTGGGGGCGAATGTAAATAAGATACAATGTACGCCATAAATAAAAACTGCGACACTGAAATGTTTTTTTGAGTCACCCTAGCATTCTATTCGCAATTGATGCAGCTGACTCTACTTGTGGTCTCACTTTAAGGTCTTTGGAGACCATCACACCAAGGTCTCGTTTGACTACAGTCTTTTCGAGTGGATAACGCCGTCAATGTTGGCCATTGAGTAATTGTGCGTCATCTTGTTAAAAGTGCGGCCAACATGCAATACTTTGCATTTCTCAATGTTGAAATGCATAAGCCAAATATGTGACCATTCCACTGCTCTGCCAATGTCGGCTTGAAGAGTGACGCTATCCGACATGTTTTTGATTATGCCAATAATTTTACTGTCGTCAGCATACAGTTTCATATGATGACTAATTCTGTCCGGCATGTCATTAATGAAGATTACAAAGAACAATGGGCCCAAGACCGAGCATTGAGGCACGCCACTAGTGACCCTTTGCCATTCAGATGTGATGCCATTGATGACCACTCCATGACTTCGGTCGTGTAACCAAGCTGAGATCCAGTCTAACTGCGTGCCTTGAATACCGTAGGCTCTTAGTTTATAAAGAAGACGTTTGTGCGGCACTTTGTCAAACGCCTTTGCAAAGTCTGTGTATATGACGTCTACTGCATGGCTACAATGAATGGCTTCTGTCATGATATCCCGAGTTTCTAGCAGGTTTGAGGTGCAACCCTTGCGATAAACAAAGTCATGTTGCTTCGGAGTAATTAAGTAATTAGCAACACATTGTTCCATTATATTTGTTTTAAGAATACTTTCTATTATTTTGCATAAAATGGATGTGAGCGAGATAGGCCGGTTGTTTAATGCATTTATTTTACTTCCTCTTCTTGA